GAGGCAGGAGAATTGCCTGAACCCAGGAGGCGGAGGTTGCGGTGAGCCGAGATCGCGCCATTGCACTCCAGCCGGGGTAACAAGAGCGAAACTCCGGCTCAAAAAAAAAAAAAAAAAGACGAAAAGTGATACCCAAAACAAAATGCAGCTGGACGTGGTGGCTCACTCCTGTAATCCTAACACTTTGGGAGGCTGAGGCGGAAGGATTGTTTGAGGCCAGAAGTTCAAGACCAACCTGGCCGACATAATGAGACCCCGTCTCTAATATAAGGAAAAAAAATGTATATGGGAGGGAAAGTTAGAGTTTTTGTATGTGATTTAAGTGATCAGCTTAAAATAGACTGTTAAAAAGTGTTATATAAACCTCATGGTAACCACAAAATGAAAACCTATAATAGGTACACAAAAGATAAAGAAAATAATCAAAGGACTACAGAAAATCAGATAACAAAGGAAGAGAGCAAGAGAGGAAAGGAACAAAGGGCCACAAAACAATCAGAAAACAATTTAAAAAATGGCAGTAGTAAGTCCTTGCCTTCAATGATTATTTTGAATACAAAATGGACTACATTCTCCAATCAAAACACAGAGTGGCTAAGTGGATCAAAAAAACAAGACTCAACTGTATTCTGCCTACAAAAGCCTCACTTCACCTTTAAGGACACATACAGACTGAAAGTGAGACATGGAGAAAGATATTTCATGCAAGTGGAAACCAAAAGAGAGCAGGGGTAGCTTTCAGTTACCTGCAGTCAACCATGCTTCCAAAATTCTTCGTAAGTTTAAAAGTGGCACACCGTTCTGAGTAGTGTGGTGAAGTCTCACACTATCCCACTTTGCCCTGTCCTGGATGTGAATCATCCCTTTGTCCAGTGTATCTATGCTGTATACATTACCTACCTATTTGTCACTTAGTCCTCTCAGTTACCAGATTGTTGTGGAATTGCAAAGCTTATACAAGTTCAAGTAACCCTTATTTTATTTACTTAGTAGCCCCAGAGCATAAGAGTAGTGACTCTGGCATATTGTTATAATTATTTTATTTTATTATTAGTTATTAATCTCTTCCTGTGCCTAATTTATAAATTAAACTTTATCATAGGTGTGTATATATAGGAAAATACATAATGTATATTGGTTTCAGCACTATCTGTGTTTTCAGGCATCCATGGGGAATCTTGGAATGTATTCCTTGAGGATAAATACTGTATGTATTTCAGACAAAATAGACTTTAAGTCAAAAGCTGTAACAAGAGCAAGACACAAGATCATTACATAAATGTCAAAGAGGTAAATTCTTTTTTTTTTTTTTTTTTTTTTTGAGACGGAGTCTCCCTCTGTCGCCCAGGCTGGAGTGTAGTGGTACAATTTCAGCTCACTGCAACCTCTGCCTCCTGGGTTCAAGTGATTCCCCCGCTTTCAGCCTCCTGAAGCTGGGACTACAGGCACATGCCATCACGCCTAGGTAATTTCTGTACTTTTAGTAGAGATGGGGTTTTGCCATGTTGGCCAGGCTGGTCTTGAACTCCTGACCTCAAGTGATCCACCCACCTCGCCTCCCAAAGTGCTGGGGTTACAGGCGTGAGCCATTATGCCTGGCCCAAAGAGGTAAATGCATTAAGATGGTATAACAATTATATATGCATCAAAATACATAAAGCAAATAACAGATTTTTTAAAAAAGTGAAAGCAAGTTTATTAAGAAAGTAAAGGAACGAATGGCAGAACAGCCCTCTTAACAGACTTGAAGTGGGAAATACACTGCAATAGAATGCTCCACTTTCAACAATGGATAGGTCAGACAGACTCAAAGAGGAAACATTGAACCCGAACTGCACTTTAGACAAAATAAGCCTAAGAGACATACATATACATAACATTTATTGAACAGCAGCAGAATACACATGCTTCCCAAGTGCATATCGAATGTTCTCCAGTATAAATGTGTTTGGTCACAAACAAGTCTTAACAAATTTAAGATTGAAATCGTGCTGAGTATCTTTTGACTATAATAGTATGGAATTCGAAATCAATAACAGGATGAAAACCAGAACATTCACAAATATGTGGAAATTAGAAAGTTTCCTGAACAACTGACGGGTCAAAGAATCAAAAAAGATTGAGACAAAGTGGAAACACAGCATATCAAAATTTATGGGGTGCAGCAAAAGGAGTTCTAAAGGGACATTTATAGTGCTAACTACCTACACTAAGAAAAAAGAAACATCTCAAAGAAACAACCTATTATTACACCCACAGAAACTAGCAAAAGCCCAAAGTTAGCAGAAAGAAATAACAATGACCAGAGCGGAAATAAATGCAATTTAGATGCCTTTTCTCCTACATACATAAAAGAACTGATAACAATCTTTCTCAAACTCTTCCAAAAAATTGAAATGGAGGGAAGAATTTCAAACTCATTTTACAGGATCAGCATTACCCTGATACCAAAACCAGGTAAGGACACTACAAGAAAAGAAAATTACATCTAACTATCCCTGATTGTAAACAAAGATGCAAAATCCTCAAAATACTAGCCAACTGAATTTGACAGCCCATTAAAAGATTATACACCATGTTCAAGTGGGACTTATCCCTTGGATACAAGGATGGTTCAACACACACAAATCAATAAATATGATAAACTGCCTTAACAGAATGGACAAAAGCCATGTCATCTCAATATATGCAGAAAAAAACATTTAACTAAATTCAATATTCTTTTATGATAAATACCCTAAAATTAGATATAGAAGGAACTTGCTTCAACACAATAAAGGCCATATATCACAAGCCCAGAACTAACATTATCTTCCATGGTGAAAAACTGAAAGCTTTTCCTCTAATTCAGGAAGAAGACAAGGATGCCCACCCACGACTTCTATTCAACATAGTACTGGAAGACGTAGCCAGAACAATTAGGCAAGAAAAAGAAATAAGAGGCATTCATATCAGAAAGGAAGAAATAAAATTGTCTTTGTCTGCAGAAGACACTAAAGGAAATAAGCCAGACATAGATAAATAATGCATGATCTCACAAGTGGAATCTAAAAAAAGTCAAATGCATAGAAACGGAGTAGAATCATGGTTACCCAGGACCAGGAGGTGGGGGAAGAAGGGAGATAGTGGTCAAAGTGTACAAACCTTCAGCTATAAGATGAATAAGCACTGAGACCTACTGTAAAGCATGGTAACTGTAGTTAATAATAACATATACCTGAAATTTGCTAAGAGTAGATCTCAAGTGTTCTCACCACACACACACACACAAGTTACTATGTGAGGTGATGGATACATTTATTAACCTAATTGTGGTAATCATTTCACAATGTATACATATATTAAAATATTACATTGTATATTCTAATTGTATACAATTTTTATTTGTCAATCATACCTCAATAAAGCGGGGGGAAAAATATATGTATATGTAAAAAGTAACACA